TTCGACAACTCGATGTAAAAATTAAAAAATGTATTTCTCCATGGCTTAATTTCTATATATAGGAATGGTAGATCCGCAACATCCAACTCATGTTTGTAAACTCCAACGAGCAATCTATGGTTTAAAACAAGCACCTTGTACTTGGTTTGATCGTTCTAGTGCTTTTCTTCTTAAATATGGTTTTTTTTGCAGTTTAGCTAATCCATCTCTATTTGTTTTTCATTTTGATCATGGTTCGCTAATCTTGCTTCTTTATGTGGATGATATGCTTCTTACAGGGTAAAATATGAGCTTGTAATCTCCTTCATTCAACTACTCAGTGATGAATTTGCAATGAAAGACCTAGGGCATGTCCATCATTTTCTTGGTGTTAGAATTTCTACAACACCCGATGGCAGTGGCGGACCTAGCATCGAAGTCCAGTCCGGGCAGACGTTGATAAGTCAACGTCGACAATCAGCGATCGTAAAAGCGAGGTCATTTATTAATATTTAATTATATAATATTAAAAATTATTTAATATATATGTAAACACGCTAAAAGGTAAAAATTATATATATAATCTACAATTGCAAGTGTGCAACATAAATCAATGAACTCGTTCAGCTGAAATACATCTACTTTTATTATCATAGTTTCACATCATAAAATCAGGCAGATACCTATATTGAACCTCTTATTTGGCATATAGAGGAGAAGGGATGTAATAGATGGTCAACATTAATTTCAATAAGAAAAGCAAAGTGATATAGACTAAATTTAGACCTTCGAATTATATTAAGCACAACTTTGTAACCTAAAAAATAGTTTCATTAATGAAATACTATTGGAGGATAGTTATACCTCCTTTCAAAACTAGCAATCATTTCTTAATTTCATATGTTTATAGACTTAATCCAAAAGAAATAAAACACTACACAATGAAATACTATTGGAGGATAGTTATACCTCCTTTCAAAACTAGCAATCATTTCTTAATTTTAGATGTTTATAGACTTAATCCAAAAGAAATAAAACACTAAACACATAATCTCTACCATTTCAGCAAATATAAATTTCCTGTTAGGATCCCGGCGGAAATTGCAATGACATAACAACCGAGTCCAAAACATTTTCCACACATGCACCCTGAATTCCAATTCCAAATCCAAATCCAAATCCAAATCCAAATCCAAATCCAATTTTAATTTTCCCCAATTCCTATTCCAATTCCAAACCCAAAACCCTAAATTCAAACTGAAAACTATCATAAATCATGAT